TATGTCAGGCACTCCTCTTTGTAAGGGTTCTGTGTAATCAGATGTAGAGATTACACTGCTTTTTATGTCTCTCTAGAGTCTGCTTTGCTTTGGAATCTGAATCCCTGCTGCTCCTGCAACTCCATTGCTCAGGGGTCTGTAGGATGGTATTATTAATGATGACACATTCTCTTATCTCCTAATTTTTTTGCCCCTAGCCTAATTACCTTATATTTCCCTTCAAGGAACCAAATAAGCCAGTTTATCTAACTCTTTTGCTCTTGTCAGTCTAAGTCATCTTGAATGTAATTGCTTTTGTCTCCTGTATTGATTCCCTGCTTTTGATTTAATTTCATCACTCCATGTTCCTTCTTCCAGAGCAGGGAACAAAACAGGTGCTTAGACAGCCTTTTCCCTTTGCTGCTAACTGGGCCCAGCGCCTCTTCAAAGAAGGCTGCCTGGCAGGTTGTCATTGCTGCACTGCTTCTCTGTCACTGCAGTTCATTTACAGGAGCAGTTTATTAAGTCTGCTGTGCAAGTATCCTTCACTCTGCCTAGCCCCTGGCCTGCAGCCAACTAGTCGGAGCATTTATCAGTCTCTAATTGTAGGGCTATGGCCCTGAAAGGAACGTCACCTGAACAGGAGAGGCCTGATAGACAAAGCGGAGGGGACAGATGCATCCTGGAAAGATGGAGTCCATCCCAGTGTTTGCAGAGAGCAAAATAAGCAAGATGGGTAGTGAAAGGAGAAAGAGGTAGTATTATCATTGCATCGGTGACCTACAGGGCGTCTTCCATATTCTTGTTATACACTTTAATTTTTTTCCTGTTGGTGTTTTGCTGTCTGCTAAAGGTTCAAAGGGTTGTGTAGGATTAGAGCAGGGGCAGGCAATTATTTCGGGCAGAGGGCTGCGTACTGAGTCTTGGCAAGCCAGCAAGGGCTGCATGACAGGCAGCCAGGGGCAGATAAATATTAATTTTATACATTTTTTTAGCAGCCCTGTGGGCCAGATAGAATGGCCCGGTGGGACACATCTGGCCCACGGGCTGCATTTTTGCCCACCCCTGGACTAGAGCCATCTGATTTGTAGTAGGACAGTCGATAGAAGCCAGCCCAGTTGAACCTCACATTCTTTTATAATGCAAGAGTGATGGCACAAATCCTGCTCGCTCTATTAGGAACCATGTGCTCATTTATCACCCAGACAGAAGTCCATGAAATCAGATGCCTAATTTAGGTGACTAATTATGGACTTGGGCAACTACTCTTTGGGCTTGTCTAGAAAGGGAATTTTACCAGCAGAACATAGAGGCATAATTATACCCATAAAATTTTACTTATATAATTTTCTGTATGGATACTCTTACTGGAAAAAGGGAATCTGTAGGAGTGTCCGTGCTGGGAGTTATCAGAGTATAACTATGTGCATAATTATACCAGTACAGTTCTGCTGGTAACTTTGTCCTTGAGGCCAGGTCCTAGGCTCGCGTACTGGAAATTTTTCATGTCAATTCTAGGTGCCTCAGTTTCCCTGCCTGTTAACTTGGGATAACACTTAACTATATGACAGTAGTAATGTGAGGATAATTGAATACATGACTTGAAAGCAGTAGGAGATCCCAGAATGGAAAACTGAAAAAACAGCACAATACAATGTGAAAAAAACAAGTGTTTTTTAAGTTTGAAGTATCAGTAGCAACTATGGGTTAATGATTAAAACAACAGTAATAAGTGACACCAGTTCAGTGGAGTCAGCTGGAAGGGCTCAGGATGCAATCATCAATACTCCTAATGACAGATGATAAGCAGAGATGGAGACAGAACTATCTGTGGTATCAATGTATTGGAATCAGTGGAGATGTACCAGGGTTGGATTTGGCTCAGTGAACTGGAAAGACTAATCTGAGGTAACCTGCAAATAATAGTTTAAGTGGACTTTTGTTCTCTTTTGCTTCCCTATGCTGTAGAAAAAGGGCCTGAAAGATGGGGTTTTTATGGCATGGACAGAACACCTCTTGCTTTATTTCCACATAAGCAGCCTAAGGTGATACTAACTTGTACTAATACAAGCAAATCACTGGGAGGTAAGCTAGGCTGAACATTTAAATTGCATTAGCTAGTCTGCAGTGCCTGCATGGGTGAAGGCTCTGACCTTGCAGTAGGTGTAAGATCAGTCACCTCACTTCTGCAGGGGGTGTACAAGCTTTCTTGAGTAGGAACATTGCAAAACAGAGATGCACAGAGGTCGGTATAAAAGGCATAAATAAAATCATTCACGGCTTGATTTTGCAAGGTGCTGAGTTCTTGCCTCTCCCATTACTACAAAGGGGGTTGAGCGCATTTGACGCTGGAAAGGTGTCCTGCACCTCAGAGAATCAGGTCTTCCTATAGTGTCCCAATAGAGAAGGGAATGTTTAGTAATGGGTTAGCTTTTGCTCATGGTGTAATAATCAGTTAAACAGAACAAGTTGATACAATACAATACAGATATCAAGTATGTGCCAGAGGAAAATATTGTAACCTTCGTGTGGGATTGTACTTGGACTACTAGCCACAGTCTTTTACATAAATGGAGATGAGATGGCAGTCAGAAGGATACAGGGCCTTAAAGATTGTATCTGGGATTCCAGCAGACAGAGAAACCGGGGCTCTGTTCTTTGGAGCACCAATGAAAAGAAAACCCCAATGATCTATTCCTTCCAGAAGGACTAGGGCAGTGAGAATGGGTTCAAGTCTTCTTCCAGTTATGGAGGTATATATGTCTAGTAGAGCTACATCAACTGCTGTAGGGTTACTCCAGACTTGCACTAATGTAACTAGCAGCTGATATTTTTTTTTTTTT